CTGGCATAGACAAAATTTACCGACCGATAAGAAGGAAATCTCACACACAGACAAAGGGTCAAAGTTCAAGTCAAGGAAACAATCAATTCCAATACAAGTAGCCTAAAAGGTGTGAAAAAAACACACATACACAAACTAAGAGTCACATTCAAGGTGGTCACCAAGACAGATGACTAATGAACTTGTGGAGAAATCTAAAGGTTCACTTCCTTCGAATTCAAGTGTATGCGGTGAAGATGTTTCCTAGTAAGGCAATGAAACCTTCGCAAATAAACCATGCAGTATGATAGAGAAGATTTGTAGCTCAGGTGGATAATTTTGATGTGGTTTTGTTCTCTGAGCTGGGGGTATATTTGCGAAGCTTTCATCACCTTACTGGGTGACATCTTCAGCGCATACTTCAATTTGAAGTGAGCTTTTAGGTTTCTCCACGAGTTTATTAATCATCTCTCCTGGTGACCTTGGACGTGATTGGTTGTTTATGTGTGTTTTCACACCTTCTAGGTTACTTGTGTTGGAACTGATTGTTTCTGTGACTTGAACTTTGACCCTTTGTGTGTGAAGTTTCTTTCTTATTGGTTGATAAATTTTGTCTATCTCGATGTGTCTATTGATTGATGATTCACTGGAATGCCAAGCTTCTAAAAATTCTCTAGCATTCTTGTTATTTCCTTTGTCTAATATTTGAACGTTGTCCCAGTCGAATTGATGTCCGTGGTTGTCTGTGTGTAGTGAAATGAGGGAGTGTATATCATGTCTTTTGACGGCTAGCTTATGTTCGTGGATACGAAGACGAAGGGGACGTCCACTTTGGCCAATGTAGTGTTTTTCACAGTTGTTACAGTTTATTTTGTAGATGATGTTGGTTTTGTCTTCTTTCGCTGTTGAGTCTTTTGGTTGACATAGAATTGAGTGCAGCGACTTTGTTGGTTTGTGTACGACGTCAATTCCTAAAGGTTTGAAGAGTCTTGTAGTGATTTCTGAGATATCCTTTATATATGGTAAGGCGATTTTCTTTGTTAATATAAGAATAAAACTTGTGCACTGTGGTAGAGTGTAATTCCATTATGGGTAAATTTTGTTTTGATAAAGTCTCACAGTGTTATACAATAATGTTTACTGATGACGTTTCGAGCACAATTTATTGCTCATAATCATATCAAGGTAATCACACGACTTCCTAAATTCATTTATATAGTTCCATTGTTTTTCTCTTGACTTTCACTTGATTTGATTGGTAGTAGTATTTTCCATATTTCAGGTATGAGTGACGAGTCATTCCTATTGCATGTGTTGGGTGTAGACTCGATGAACAAGGATTCAGTAATCAACCTCTCTCTCCACCTACCTAGATTACTTTTTAGAATTTTAACTCTCTCCCACCCTATTGTGTGGTTGTGTGTTAGCGCATGCATTGCAATTGCTGAGCTTTTTTCTAAATTACTTATCTTCTCGGGGTCAACCATTCTTACCTTAGCTAAAAGGGGTAGTCAGATTGTCAGAGCATAAGAATTTAGCTAAGGTAAGAATGGTTGACCCGAGAAGATAAGTAATTTAGAAAAAAGCTCAGCAATTGCAATGCATGCGCTAACACACAACCACACAATAGGGTGGGAGAGAGTTAAAATTCTAAAAAGTAATCTAGGTAGGTGGAGAGAGAGGTTGATTACTGAATCCTTGTTCATCGAGTCTACACCCAACACATGCAATAGGAATGACTCGTCACTCATACCTGAAATATGGAAAATACTACTACCAATCAAATCAAGTGAAAGTCAAGAGAAAAACAATGGAACTATATAAATGAATTTAGGAAGTCGTGTGATTACCTTGATATGATTTTCTTTGTGTTTCCTTGGTGGCTTTTGTTTTGGTAGGTTGGCTTGGGGGTATATGTCTCTTGATGAAATTCCGGGGATATCCATTCTTTTGGAAGACGTCCATGAGATACTTTTCTTCAATTTTTCTTAAGGTGGGAGTGCTGCAGTGAGTCCTTGCTCTCTTGAATAGTGTTTGTATGCAGTTCCTTTTGTGTGCTATTGGGTTGTTGCTGTTGTAATTCAGTATTTGGTCTGTGTGAGTTGATTTCCTATAAACTTGAGTTTCTAATTCTCCTGTAGTTGTTCGCCTGACTAAGACGTCCAAAAATGGTATTTTGTTCTCGGATTCCTCTTCTCTTGTGAATTTGATGTCGTTGAAGACGTTGTTTATTAAGTTGTGAGTTTTGTCTAATTCGTTTCTTTTGATTATTACAAATGTGTCGTCGACGTAGCGTATCCAAATCTTGGGTTTGATCTTTGGTAGAATTATGTTTTCGAGTCTTTGCATCACTGCTTCTGCAATCAAACCTGATATTGGCGATCCCATGGGTGTTCCTTTGACTTGTTCATATATTTGGCCGTTGAATTGGAAGTATGTTGTTAGGCATAGATTTATGCATTCCATCCAGCTTGTGTGTTGCATTTTTGATTGTTGTGGAAGTTGTTCGTCGTTGCTAAGTAATTGCTCCATGGTTTCTTTTGCTAGTTTTTGTCCGATAGAGGTATATAATGCTGTCACGTCGAAGGATACCAAGTAACCTAGAAGGTGTAAAAACACACATAAACAACCAATCATGTCCAAGGTCACACCAGGAGAGATGATTAATAAACTCATGGAGAAACCTAAAAAGCTCACTTCAAATTGAAGTATGCGCTGAAGATGTCACCCAGTAGGGCGATGAAAGCTTCGCAAACTAACCATCCAGCTCAGAGAACAAAACAACATCAAAAGCCATGCAGTTTCGGTAACGGAGCAGTGGCTAGGATGCTCACCGTTCATGCACAGGGTTCGGGGTTTCAATCCCCGTTCTACGTACACCTGACTTCAATGATCGGCCTTCTAGTTTTGCGTTACCGATATCACTTGTACTAAAGCACTGTGTGGAATTAAGGTATAATAAAAAATTCTTTTAAATCATCCACCTGAGCTACAACTCTTCTCCATTACACATAGCACTCACTACCTCTCAAATACTACAGAATTTGGCGCCTACACTTTATAAAAAAAAATTTGTAGTTCATATCAGCTGAAGGGAACTGATTCACAATGATGTAGTTTTCACATCTTCGTTCCTATCAAGTACATAGGAAATTTAGTTAAGACCCTTACTCAGCCACAGAGTTAGAGCTATATGCTCAGAAGAAGTAAATGAAGATGAATTAAGCATTGTATATGATACTTTGATCGAAAAATTTATCAAGAAAACGCATGACAAAGAAAGCGGTTGGGAAACGACTACTCACTATCTGTAAACAAGAAGCCACTTTATATACGACTAAAATTCAAGGGCGATATACCACCAAGTGAGATAATAACGAGGAAATTAAGAAAATCAGTTCAAAGAACTTTTAGTGCTGGCAGCGAACTACACATCTTATTCTCTACACAACCGATGGTGCTACCTCGACTGAAAGATGGAAGTACCTAGACTAGCTAGCCATTTCTAATTGTATCTACCAATTCAACCGCGTTGGTGATGAGGTGAGTTATATTGGCCGTTGCTCTAGGAACTTGATTTTTCGTGCTTCCTCGGGAACATCTCCCGCTATGGCTAAGTAAAGGTCTAGTGAAAACCATTGACAGTTCGATATTAGACCATCTGGTGCAAACTGGCCACAAAGCTAGCCAGCCAGCGTGGAAGAATCCTTCTTTATCATCTACCGGGTGCCTAATAAATTGCCAAAATCATCGAAGCACCGCATTCTCCAAACACCAGAGGCTAGTTCAATTCGCCTCAAACAACCAGTGCTCTGTGTTCAAAAGAAGCAAGTCAAGCCAGCCCATACTACTGCCCTGACGGGCCTTCAGTAGAGACTAGAAATTCATGAATTTGTAATATTATCTTTCCTAATTTTTCTGACATTCAGTGTGTATTGTTATGTTGATGCTATCGAACTGTAATCCATTGATATTATTATTATTCTTGATTCGATGTTATTTAAACAACGACATTAATGTTGTTCATCACACTAATTCATTCATTCATTCACTATAATGTATGTGTAACCGTAGAGCCTGATGATGAAGAGCAGGCTATCGAAAACAGTCTGTCTGTCTGTCTGTTTTCGACATAGAACTTTGCACAAATGTGCGGAAGTTCAAGTCGCCACATTCCGTGTAGCACGCGAAGCAAGAGAAGAAAGTACAAGAAAAGCATAATAGAAACAGTGAGCAGAGGTGTGAGACAAAGGAGTAATAAAGAAATACAAAACAGTTTCATTGAAGATCATAAGTCACAAGGAGTGGATGCATCTGCGCCACTGAGAACGATTTTGAGCCATGTCACCAATTGTTTCCAACCATAGATTTCAACCGTCCCGAGGACCACAGCCTGGAAGTCTACACCTTCCTACGTGGCTGGCTTAGACCAACTGTTGTGGATTTCATTGACTGGTGAGGCCAAGTTTTTGTTTGACCGCCGCTAGCTTTTTTCCAGCCTGACCCTATATCCGCTAACATTGCTCGTCGAGGGAGGCGATGGCTTGGCATACGTAACACGTGTCCTAACCATCTTAGTCTTTGTAGCTTCACAACTTCGTCGATTGATTTACCCTGTTTACCTAGAACTCTACGCCTAACCTCCATGTTGCTCACCTCATCATGCCACTTTACACGGGAAATAGAGCGCAGGCACCTATGATCAAAGACAGCTAGTCTTTTCATGTCTTCCACTCTCAGTGGCCAGGTCTCACAACCATAAAGGAGGACGGAGCGGACTGATGAGCAATACACCCGCCCTTTGGTCGATAGTCGAACATCTCGTCTACGCCAGAGTCGGCGTAAACTAACAAATGCGAAACGAGCCCTTGTATTCGTGCTGAGATTTCGTCAGAGATCAGCCCGTTGGGGCTGAATCGAAAACAGTATTCTTTTTTCCGTATCCATTCTTTTGAAAAAATTTTATTTTATTTTAAAGAATTTAAAGTAGCTTCTTCTTTCCCCCTCTCTCTCTTTCTCAGGTTGATACTCCAATTCTTACAACAACAGACTGTGAAGGTACTGGTCAAATGTTCAATGTTCAATCACCTTTGTCAAATGAAACCAATGAATTGACGAATAAATCGAATGTATTTTTAACTGGTAGCGCACAAATGCATTTAGAGGCCTTAGTTTTAGGTTTAAGTAAGGTATACAAAGATGTTTGCTTTTTTTTCAAAAAGTTTTCTTATTCTTGTTTTTGTTTTAATAAGGAAGATTAAACTGTTCGGTGTGATATCTATGTATATGGTTGGTTGGTCGCCTACCTTCCAATTGATCCGAGGTTCAACTCCCGGTCGACGCTTCTCACTAACCTCACTTAGTTGGTAGTAAGCCCAGGGTAAAGGGTTGAAGGTTTGGCCTCAGGGCAACCTTATCATGTAATAAATTCACAGTACTGTTGATTTCTGCTGCCTATCACTTATCGATCCGTGTGTAAAACAGCCTATTAGGTCACAACATACTGGAGATTTTAGATGACCAGAAAGGATTGGTAACACACAAGAAACTCTGGCAACGGATCAATCGGAGAACCTTTTGACCAACAAGTATGCCAGACGAAATGAAGATGAAATGAATTCATGCTGAGGAGGTTGTTGAATGACATTGAGCGCCAAGCCCTCGGGCAGGAAACGATTTATTGGATGCGGTTCTGAGGGTGACATGGATGGATGATAACGGGGTGAGGAGGTGATGAAAGGAAAGAAAGCTAATGAGCGATCGTAGAGACAGCTAAAGAGAACTACAAAAAAGGATGAAATCAATTCCATATTAGTTTGTTTATTAGATGTCATACAACACAGTCAGTGAAACAGGATTACTGTTTACTGGATGACACACTTTCGAACCCAATTTATTAATTGTTCATAATCATTTCATCAATTATAATCACACACGACTTCAAAACTTGAGTTTTATAGTTTTCTTTAATCTCTCCTATTTGTCGTCGTTGAGGTAGTAGACTTTTCTAGATATCTATGTGAACAGGTGTTGAATCATTCCTACTACACGTATTCTCTTCAGTTGATTCGATCGACAAAGCTTCTGTTATCAATCTCTCCCTCCGCCCTGTTAGTTGCATTAAATTTTAAAACTGTCGTCTTGTCCCACCCAGCCTATTGTATGGTTGTTTGCAATTGCAGGTAGTGAGTGGTATAGCTGAATTGCTTTCTAGATTTCTTATCTGATTAGGGTCAAGCAATCCAGATTTTGCTGGTAGGTTTTTATGCTTGGCTAGTCTGACTGACTGCCCCTGTTCTAGTAGTCTGACCTGTGTATTTGACCTGACAATGATTGCAGACAGGATATTAGATAAACTAAATTGTTTTGTTTTAAAGGCTCCACAGGATCCACCATCTTACCGACAAAGCTTGTGTCTGATTGATTTTTATAAAAAAAAATATTATTATCACTATTATTGTTATCATTATTATTATCACTATCGCTACTATCATTATTTATTTTATTTTTACATTTTCTTACATATTTCCTGACTAATTTATCTGGTCAGTTATCAAGTTTCTCTTATATGTCCCATTTCCTGTCTTAGATTTTCCTTGGTACTATTTAGTTTTTGTGCTCTGTCACTTAAACATTTCACCAATCCTATTTTCACTGACTTAGGATGGTATATGATCGGAGGTCCAAATATCTGTTTGAATGTGTGGGTTTCCTGTAAACACACTTGTATGTGTTTAACTTCCCATTTTCTTTCCTTTTTACTCGACAATCTAACATTGGAAGTTCCCCTTCCTGAATCTCCAGAAGCTTTGTTTATCGAATCAACTGAAAAGGATACGTGTAGTAGGAATGATTCGACACCTGTCCACTTAGATATCTAAAAAAGTCTACTACTTCAACGACAACAAATAGCAGAGAACAAAGAAAACTACAAAACTCAAGTTTCGAAGTTGTGTGTTATTATAATTGATGAAATGATTATGAACAATGAATAAATTGGGTTCGAAAGTGTGTCATCCAGTAAACAGTAATCCTGTTTCACTGACTGTGTGATACATCTAATAAACAAACTAATATGGAATGACTTACCACCACAGTGCCTAAGTTTTACCTATATATATTAGGATGAAATGAAGAATCGTTGTTGAAGCCTTATACAAATAATAATACACTTCTGTTCAAGGGATGTGGTATGACGTTATTTACGTTTATACCTAGTTGGCTCACTAGTAAATAATGAAACTTCACTTTTTTTAATTGGTAAGCGATGGTGAGTTTGTGTCTCAGTAGCCAGAAAGCAATCGCTCATCTGGATCTACATAAATTCAACTGATTAATCTTATAGCTGACGAAGTATCCCTCCTGGTTTCCTCGTACAGCACAAAAGAAATCACGCTATAATCAAAAAGAAATCCTTTAAACAATCTTTTGAAAGTATAAGAAGGTTCATCATATTGTTTTTAAGGGCGACCTACCTATCTCGTTTGTCAATTATTTTGAATTCGAAATGCTCAGTCACTCTTGGCATTCTAGCTCAGAGTACAGACTCTGTGACGTTGTCTCAGGATTATGGTGAAGTTCTTTTCTGGTTGATAATGTCTAGCAGTGAAATCCAGGATGCGTGTTTTGTCCTAGTTGGGACTCTCATCACTGTATCTACCTTTATCTCATGCCAAAGCATTATCCGCTAGGTAACGAGAGTTACTCAACTGACAGTTTACGTGATATTTTATTTTAGTTGATAGTGTATAACCATCATTTATTGGAAATTTGGACATATTCGCAGATGACGAGTCATAAACAGTACGAAATGCTCATCCTGACAGATTCCACTGCTCTAGCCACTATCGAAGATAAAAAAAGAAGTTCACGTTCAAATTTCCAAACCGTTTTTAATTTTTCTTGTCCCAAAGTTTCTATTAATTTTAATTTTATTTAAATTTTTTTAATTTTATTATTGTTATTTTATTTAATTTTAATTATATTGGCAAAGTTCAACAGTAACGTCCACGGAGTGAGAACGCACGAGTGACCTTCAGACGACCTTCAGATCATAAAAATAAGGAATTTTTGCCTCCAAAAATGACGTATATTTACAAAAAAAGGCATGAAAACACATTGAACAGGGTATCTTTCTCTGATATGACTTAAAAAAAATACGTCCCAGTTATAATGAGGAGTATCAGTTGCGCCAAGTTAGACTAGTTTGTGTACATGTATTCACCGAGATGACTGAAGATGACCTGTTTTTATGAATCATTTATCTCCCTTATCCAGTCGCATGGTCTTCCCCAAAAACCCTCGATTGAATAACTATGGTTTCCAGTAAGAGGATCGATGACTGACTACTTACCAGGAAAATGTGGCGACGGATGTCCCACCGATGACGTTGGTTGGAGTCGCGCTAAATCTCGAATTAGTAGAAGTTAGAATTCATGGACTGGCCATTGAATCGTGTCCCAGTGGCTGAATGGTATACCAGCCAGCTAGCTGGCCTTGTAACCGGAAGGTCCTGAGTTCGAATCCCCCCCTGTTTTGGGGTGATTATTGCCGATGATTCCCAAGCTAGGATGATGGAACAGCTGTCCAGTACTGTCAGTCCAGTACAGCTGTCCTCGTAAAACCAAAACGAATCCTTACAAACCAACTATAGAAAATTAAAATAAATAACATCCACTATAAATCTATCCTTAGTTGTAACCCTAACCTTAATCACAACCCTTATCCAAACCGTAATTCTAACCCTAATGCTAATTAAGACCCTGATTCTAACTAACCCTTACGAGCAATTAGCACACTGTCCAGATACTACTTAAAAGCGTGATCTGGGTGTAATTTGCTGCTTAACCGTGGTGAATACCGTTGATATGCGCTGAAGATGTCACCCAGTAGGGCGATGAAAGCTTCGCAAACTAACCATCCAGCTCAGAGAACAAAACCACATCAAAATTATCCACCTGAGCTACAAATCTTCTCTATCATGTCTATACCGTTGATATTTCAGCTATGTGATAATTACAGGTGCCACTAGCCAACTGCTAGCATGTGTTCAAGGTCATTGGAGCGTTCGCACTCCTCCTGGGATGACGGTATTGTTGAACTCTGTCGCCATTCGTTATATTTATAATATCTTATTACAATACATTGATTCTTACATAATGTCTAGAAATCAAATTGTAGAACTAGTGAACTGATAAATGACGTTGACGTATTATGCATAAATCGATCACAATGGTGTTTGCTCTTTCTGAAACTAAGTAGTTATGAAACCAAAAGACTGAAATGGCGAAAAAAAAGTCTAGTGCGTGTGTGCGTATACGTGTGTGTGTGTGGGCGTACGCGCGCGAGTTTGTGCGTCTATTTATCAGAGTGAAAAACGAGAAATAGCTTATTCGTCCTAACTATCTAATGTCGTTTTATCCTATTTAGTGTGGTTACAATCGTAGCTGCATTCGCACTTTCGAATAGCGCTGAATGTCCTGAACAGTTTCAACAATGAAATATACGGGTAAGTAGATGGAGTAGCAATGGGTTCTCCCCTACGACACCTCCTGACCGACTGCTTTGCTTTATGGCTAGCCTAGAAAACAATTCCTTATCATCAACTATCAATGACCACCATCTCTACAAGAGATACATCGATGATACTTTCATTATTTGTGATAAAAATCTTCAATAACGCCCACCTAAATATCGACTTTACTCTTGAGGTTGAATCCGACGGAATGTTCCACATCCTCGATGTCCTTTTGGCAAGAAACGCCAGCAACTCTGAAAAGGTCCACATACAAAAAGCGTACATAGGGAATGAACAATTCATCAACTTTCAAAGCTTCGTGCCCCTAAGCAGAAAGAGGAACCTGATATACGCTCTTTCCTCGAGGATTCGGAAGATATGCAGCGAGGAAGTGATTGATGAATAATCCTGATAGAAAACAGTTTTCCGTCTAGGTTCATAGACAAGAATCTCAAATCAAAGGAGGCTTTCGAACAGGTCCAATCCGTCCCGAAGAAGAAGATACTTCTGCTTAATCCAGAATTCATATGTGACATTGAAGCAGAAATCCTTCGTAAACGCCTCTGCTAATCTCTGAGGAAAACATACTCCGCCTAGAGCCTGCGACTGATGTTTTCATGCAAGAAACTGTTCAGCCATAACGCGAAAGACAAGCTGTCGCATTGGGTCACT